GTGAAATGCACAAAGAAAATTAAATGGATTTAAAACTTACTCAAGTAGGTGGATATCGAACGGATGCACCTTAAACTTATTCATCTGTCATCCAGCGATTCAGTATGTCCACATTACCGGAAATGTTACCATCAGTATGCCCTGACTGCTATTATCCTATCTTTAATTTTTTTCAGAATAAAATACGTAAGGCGGTAAAATGCATGACGAAACAGGTGTCCTGTTCGAGGAAGAACCTTAAATTAGGGCGTGCATAGTCTCGCTAATCATCAATAAACCAGCACTATCAGTATAACAGCTCTCTGCATATTAAACATCGTCAATTTGTGCCTAAGTGTGCTAGCCCAAAATGTCGAAGCAGAAGACATTACGACAAGCGGAGTTATAGTGACATTTAAGTCCGTTTTGTTTTCCTCAGTAACAATACGCATTAAAAAAACGTGACACAGCTTTGGATGGAACACAGAACAAGCACGTGTATTTTCACCTGCTGACGACTTTGTTCTTATTTACTAGTTTTTAACTGTTGGGATACTGCTGTATTCGTTCCCTGGATAGTCTACTCACTGCCTAACAACTAGTGACCCCTCGTTTTGATTGCGCTTTCAACTGAACTGACTTGCTAACAATTTCTACGCAACCGTGCTTTTTTGTCAGCCCGTTTTCGGTAGACAAAATTCGTCGTTTTATCGAATAGGACGACTGCATTTCCAAGCCGCCAAAAAGCGACCTCACTTGACCACCAGTTTGTGACATTTTGACCAAATAGTGTCTAACGATAATTTCGCGCATCCACTTAGTGGCATTCACACATTCGACCTTCCATCCTGCTGGCTTAGTGACATAGCCATTTGGCTGCCTACAGTCGAATCTCGTTTTGTTCTAAGTTCAATCATGAAGGAAGAGATAAAATTTCATTATCTCGTGTCCGCATTGCCACTGGAGATTGCAACAGACCCCCAGGATATTAGAGACAGTCCACTCACAGAGACTCCCTATACTAGGCTAAAGGAGGCCCTAATCTCCCGTGTTTCGCTATCAACACAAAATCGCTTTCAGCGTTTAACTTCTGAAGAGCACTTTGGTGATAGGAAGCTAAATCATCTTTTTAGGCACCTGGAACAGCTAGCTGAGGGAGGAGAGCTAGACGGCACCGTTTTCAAGCAGTTCTTCCACCAGCGACTGCCCTCTCCAGTGCACCCAATATCTCTTCCTCATCAGTTTAAACGCTGGCCGCGACAGCTGATCAGATATTCGAAACTTATCAACCACCTACTTCAGTCAATTTTTCTACTCGGCTTTCAACGACACATACCATCGAGGATGTCGTCAAACGCCTGGATGCCCTTACTCTCGAAGTTTTCCAGCTCCGGGCCGCTATGTCTATAACCGTCGTAGTCCTTCGATTACTCGGCGCCCGAGATCTCCCACTACAAACCAACCTACAGTTGATGGTTCCTTTTGGCATTATCATAATTATGGTTCTAACGCCCATCGCTGTCACTCTCTGTGCAAGTACAAGACACCTGCGTTGGAAAACTCCCCTGCCGACCAATAATGGCGTCGAACGTGGCCGGCCCGTCCTCTCCCAGTCGCTTACTCTACATACATGACAGGAGTTCCTGTCGTAATTTTCTCGTGGATAATGGGGAGGAGATCAGTATAATTCCGCCCACCTTTACTTACCGTAAGTCACCAAACCCTTCATTTTTCCTCCAAGCAGGTAACAGGACTTCTATTAAAATTTTTTATCAGCGATCCCTAACGGTAGATTTGGGTCTAAGCTGTTCATTTCGTTGGCTGTTTACTGTCGCTGATGTCCACATTGCCATTCTCGGCTCCGATTTTATATCCTTTTTCGGTTTCCTCGTTGGCATCAAGTCCCCTAGACTATTTGACCTCAAGACTTATTTTCACCGTAAATGTTCCACTCGTACCCTTTCATCACCTAATCCACGCATTTCATTAATCCATTCGTTTACTCCGTATTATCGTTTACTTTCGGACTTCCCATCTCTCAGACGACCCTCATAATTTAACCAACCTATCAAGCATTCTGTTGTACATTATATTTCAACCACTGGACTACCCGTGTTTAATCGTCCCCGTCGTTTGGCCGTCGATAAGTTAGCAAAAGTCAAGGCTGAATTCAGTCACTTTATGGAGTTAGGCATAGTCAGACGTTCCGATGGTCCACGGTCTGCACCCCAACATATGGAATGTAAAAAGTCTCGTTGACTGGCGCCCATGCGGGGATTACCGACGGTTAAACACCTGCGCTGTGCCTGACAGATATCAACTTCCCATCTTCACGACTTTTCATCTAGCTTAGCCGGGGCAACAATATTTTTCAACATTGACTTAGTCAAAGCTTTCCATCAGACACCCATTGCTCCAGAAGACGTTCACAAAACGGCGATTACAAGTTTGTCAGCATGCCCTTTCGGCTACGCCACTCCGCTCAAACCTTTCAACGTTTCATCACCGAAGACCCCCGCGACTTGCCTTTCGTTTTTGTCTTTGTCGACAATGTTCTGGTAGCATGTTCCAGTAAACACTAAAACCTACAAAATGTAGGCCTCATTTTTGAACGATTATGGCAATATGACGTTTTCATTAATGTTTCTAAATGCTTGCCATGCATGCAAATCTTCATCCGCAACTATAGGAGTTCGGATTTGGTGTAGTGGTGTGATGGGAGCATGAAGTCCGCACAATCTCCAGTCTGTTTAGGAAGAGAAGCGAGATCGTCCAAAACAGCATTTTGGTGTCTATTCTTGGAGGTGGGTAAGTCATGGCACCCTGTAAGTCCTCCGAAACTCGTCATTACCGATTCGAAAAAAAATATTATGACGGGGTCAGTGTTTGATTGCTTGCAAATTTAAAACATGATTTGGCTCAATTTTATCATATAGTCTTTTCCCCGGCTGAAAATATTTACTTATTGAAGAATGCGGAGAAATATCTGCAAAAGAGTTTATGATGGAACAACGTTTGGTATAAAGCAGTCCGCCGCAAGGCGTTTTTGCGGACCAATCGGGGTTCTCCAATTGGCGCCTAAAACAATGTTTTTGATCCATTCGAACACACAGTCAATTGATGAAGCCACGTAGTAATCTCCCACGCAGCGTGGAGGCGCGAAAGAGGCTACGCCGTAGACTGTCCATCTGCCATCATTTGCCTTACAGTGCAATCCACCCCCACTGTCGCCGACACAAGAAGTCTAAATTTGTAAAAGACACGTGGTGCGTTGTGTTCTATGTGATCAATGTATAATAATAAATTATTTCCTACCACAGGCCCCTGCTTTGCACAAATGTGGACTTTTCTGTTAACTGACTTGAGGACATGATTGCAGCCTGACATATCTGTGATTGTCGCCGGTTTTCCCATCAGCTTCTCTGGCTGATCTTGAGAGGGATCGCCTGGAGGATTAGGAATTAGTCCCCAGCCGGCAACATAGCAGGCGTGTCCACTGCTTAATTTTTCCTTTTGGGACACGCATGCAAATGCCACATGCTGTGATTTTCCAAGAAGCCGGTTTTAAATTAGTCGGTTTAAATATGAATCATTTTGCAATAAACGCTCTAATGAATACTAACAGAAATTTCGGCGACGTTTAAAATTAACAACCTCCTCAGATCTACTATTGGGCTTACAAATCCTGAGAACATAAAAAGACTCGGTAATTGGAAGTAAAAACATTCCGCTTGGTGCACAATTATACAGGCATTTTAACAAACGGTTCGTCAATAACAGGGGTAGTATGTCTGTCCGAATTTTGTCAACCAGTCTTGTAGTTAGATCCTCTTAATGCGACACTTGTGGAATGCAGTTATTTTACCTCGTAGCTCCCGTTTACATCATGCAGTATAAAATAACAATCTTATTGCAATCAATAATGTCGTTTGGGTTAGTGCTGCTATAGAAACTAGCACATGGGGTAAGATTTAGTCGGTAGTGCAGCACAGTTTGATAAGATATACTTTGAAATTATTGTGGTGTTTCATTTCCGTGTGGTGCCGTCCCTTAAAGCCTGAAGTCGTTAAATAAATTCTTAGTGTAACGCGTACCTCATATCAAGCAGTGTTTCAAAAATAACTCATCAGTACCCATATTTACTTCAAGATAATACTAATGAAAATCGAATATGAAAATGATATTCAGAGCGAATGAGGACACAGGAGACAAAAGTACTGATGTACAAACTTACATCGGTTGACATCCCGATCCATTTTTAGAAGTGCGATGTCGATGCTTTTTTTTGTCCCATCCACAGGAAATTTCGGATGAATGACCACGTGCCTTACTCGGACATTGTAACCTTGACCATCCTGCTCTTTGAAATCATGAGCTCCTATAAGAACGGCCATAGTGTGGCCTGTAACATCGTCAAACGAAAAGGGTTTGCCAAGCGTAACGTTTTTGCATTGAAGGGCCATGAGGATACAATGAGCGGCGGTTACAACCCACGAGGGCGCGATGAGCGTTCCTCCACAAAATGGATATGCCCCAAATGCAGAATAGTAAATTCCAACCTATTGACATAAAAAGAAGTACTGCAATGCCTCTATATTGAACATGTTAACCCAACTTGTATAATATTTTACTGAGGCTATTGGGTAGTAGTGGTCAGTATTTTGCGGTAATTGACAATTTCTAGAGCTGTAAATTTCAGGAAAGACGTCCCAATTTAAGGGCAACCTCAATAGTCCAGACTGTCACACGGTTATTGGAAATAAGGACTTGTTGCGTTTTTAGGGTTTACAAACTTGTAATTAGTTTAAGCAGGTTGAGCTTGTGAGGGGCCGCGAGTATGCTAGACGAGCCTATTTTTGTGGACTATTCTGATACATTTGGAAAGTGAGGTCGAGTACACAATTGTACAGGACAAATTCTCTGCTTACTTACGTGCCAGGGCCAACTGTGAATTTTAGATTCCGTCTTTAGTCGTTCATGTTTGTCAGCTGGCGGTTGTAGTCCTGCAGGTATTCCACAACTCACAGGGAGTCCATTTTCCAGAACTTCACCTTGGCCTAGCAAGAAAAACGTTTGAGCATATGAATTTAAAATGACAAGGCAGTTTCTTTGCAGATTTCAACACTACAAGAAGCTCGGACAAGTTAATTTTACGGACAGATTTGTAAGGAAGCTGGTTGTTCCAAAGAGCTCCCGTTAAAAATATCGTAATTATGACAGTCAATTTCTGCATCCTGTGCATCCGTTTTCATCTACCTGGTTTTTGTTCATGGGCTGCGCATGCTTGTTTCTTGTTCCGCCTCTGGAGTCGGTGCTCGCTTAGGCAAGTCCCGCGTGGTTTAGCGCTAAAGTTGCAAGTAAATGGGATTTTACAACTACTGATTCTGAGAGTTGTCATCCTTCTTAATAACATGTCTGTTGCCTAGGCTATTCAAGGTAAGTTCTCAGGCTTCCCAGGACATGTCATTGAAGCACAGAAGTGGGAAAAACGGATGGAATTGAACAAGTTAACAACGGTCAACGACAGTATGATGTCGTCAGGATTGAGAAGATGGTTGGAAAGCAAGTTCAATGATCGTGCCAGAACATCAGCTGACGTTTTCAAATTCGAATACTTCATTGTGAATGGAAAACGGCCTCCTAGTTGCGTCTGCTTGCTCGGCCTTAACATCATAACCTGAAAGCATCTGTCTAAGTGTTTAAGTAAATCCCAGAAAAAAAGGGATCTCAAACCACTGAGTGCTGCCTGTCGAAGTAGATATTGTTAAAAGGACACCGAACAGCCTAAATACGCAGCTAATACATGGTTCCCAACCTCAATGACGCAGTGTTGTTCTCGCGCTTAGTCGTTGTAGTAAGGTACACCCAGGACGGTAGAAACAAACTAATAGTGATGCATCAAGACCCATAATGATGCGCTTAGCTGGAAAAGGCAGTCCGCCGACTCATTGACTGCCAAAAATGCGTCGAAATATGTTCCTAGAAAACGAGAAATAACTTCTCCGTAGACGCTTGGGGGAACATAAGAAAGTGACTCGGTTGTTGATTTCGTCCAATATTAGTAGTTTTATTGCTGAGATTGGATCATACTAGCGTGAAACCAAAACGGATGTAGTCTAGTTAGTTTGCGAAAAAATCGTGAATTAAATTCCCTTCATGAAACCCCTCGTTTTCGAATAACGTTCTATAGCACGGGGCACTATGCTCCGCATATCACCGTGCACCCACAATTTTCCATCATGCGCTACTGTAGTTATCAGGCTGCAGTTGTAAGAATGAAGGCTTTGCTCAGTGAGTGTTTTCTCGCTCGACATTAACTGCGTCCAGTTTTGCCGCAAATGCTTTTTACATTTGACTTACTTTATGCAAAACCGACTGAATAGGGGAGGTGCATGAAGAACATTAAATTTATTCGAAACATATTCTCAAGAAGGTGGATATTGAACGGATGTACCTTTAGCCGGTTCACGTGTCTCCCAGCGAGTCGGTTCGTCCTCATTACCCGAACCGTTATCATCAGTATACCTTGACTGTTGCTATCCCATCTTTAATTTTTTCAGACGAAAATACCTGAGGCGGTAAAACGTATGGTGAAAATTCATGTCCCGTTCGAGGAAGCGCCTTAAATGAGAGCTTGCATAGCTTCCCCAATCTTCAATAAACTAGCACTATCAGTCTAAAAGCCCTCTGTATATTAAACATTGTCGAGTTGTACCTAAGTGGGCCAGCCCAAAATGTGACGAAATAAATGCCGAAATATAGGACATTACGAGTTTACTGTAGGACCTAATATGCGCATAAATTATGGCAGATCGCTGGCATTTACAATGGAATGAATCACTGATTCTGTAAGTTCATTTCCTTTAGCCTAATCCATCGTGCGTTACGACACAAGGGGAAGCAGTACTTTATACCTGATCTATGTTTTTGCTCGCTGACACTTAACCAACTACCTGTGAACGTTGCTATACATTCCCAAAACCAAGGCATTTGCATAGCGATCTATATAAGGTAGACCAATTCATTATGGCCATCCCCCATTCGATTGTCAATTTGGTGATTATGAGAAAGCAACTGATAATAAATGTTAAAGTAACATGGCTGGATTTATCAGTGGTTGGTTTTGGATAATAGAATACTGACCAGTTTGTAAAGTCGATATTAGTTCGGTCGAAAACCCGTTTCGAATGCACACCGCTGTCGTGAATGTTCGCTTGTGATTACCCACAAAGACGGTGTCTGATCGCGGACCCTGTCTCCGTAAGCGAGTGCAGGTGTTTTCAAGTGACACGCTCACCCTCCGATAGCAGTAGGAATTATCGGTTTTCGAAGTTGATAATTTACACCCGAAATGCTCAAGTATTCAGCACTACATTGCAAATCATCAGCAGCACCTTATATGTCGGACGTTTCCCCTTTCTGTTCGTGAACACAGATTGCGTTTTGAAACTTGTCATGCATTCAAATCATCATCCACATTTCTACATGCCTTCCATTTCGTTCTCGCATCCATTCCTAATTTAAACCTTTGTCTGCAGTATTGTGATGGAGCATGAAGTCTGCACAATCCGTAGTCTGTTTAGGAAGAGAAGCGAGGTCGGCTCAAACAGCATTTTGGTGACTGCCTTTGGAGGTGGATAAATCACAACACTGCATGTCCTATACCAGTGATTACCGATTCGCAAAAAAATATTATAACGGGGTCAGTGTTTGGTCGCTTGCAAATTTAAAACATGCTGTAGCTCAATTTTATTATTTTATTGCCATTTTCCGGTCAGAAATATTTACTTATTGAAGAATACGGAGAAATATGTGCAACATAGTTTGTGATGAAACAACGTTTGGCATAGCGCAGTCCGCCGTAAGGCGTTTGCGCGGGCCAATCCGAGTTCTTTAATTGGCGCCTAGAACGGTGTTTTTGATCCATTCGAACACATGGCCAGTTGATGAAGCCACGTAGTACGTTCCGAAGCAACGTGGAGGTGCGAAGGAAGCTACGCCGTAGACTGTCCATCTGCCATCGTTTGCCGGACAGTGCAATCCACCCCCACTGTCGCCGACACAAGAAGTCTAAATTTGCAAAAAAACATAGGATACATTTTGTTCTATGTGACCTTTCTATGTAACGTAAAATTACTTCTTACCACAGGCCCCTGCATAGTGCAAATGTGCTCTTTTTTGTTAACTGACGCGAAGGCGCTTTCGCAGCCGGACATATGTGTGATTGATGCCGGTTTTTCCATCAGTTTTTGTGGTTGGTTTGAGGAGGGTTCGCCTGGAGGATTAGGAATCAGTCCCCAGCCGGCAACATAGCAGGTGTGTCCGTTGTTGAATTTTTCTTTTTGGGGCACGCATGCAAATCCCACATGGCGCGCTTTGCAAACAAACCGGTTTTAAATTAGTCGGTTTAAATACAAATCATTCAAGTTTTAACAAAGCTTTGGACAGCGTTTAAATTTCACAACCTCCTTAGATCTACCATTTGACTTACAAGACTTACAAGACTCGGTAATTTGGGGTAAAAGGCTCCACATGGTGCAAAGTTATGCAGGCTTTTTAACAAAAGGGTTCTTGCATAAAATGTGTCATATTTCTGCCCGAATTTTGCAGAGCAGTCTTGAAGTTAGGTCACTTGAGTGCGACTCGTATTGAATGCATTTATTTCACCTCATGACAAAAGTACTAATGTAAAAACTTACATCGGTTGACATCCCGATCCATTTTTAGAAGTGCGATGTCGATGCTTTTTTTTGTCCCATCCACAGGAAATTTCGGATGAATGACCACGTGCCTTACTCGGACATTGTAACCTTGACCATCCTGCTCTTTGAAATCATGAGCTCCTATAAGAACGGCCATAGTGTGGCCTGTAACATCGTCAAACGAAAAGGGTTTGCCAAGCGTAACGTTTTTGCATTGAAGGGCCATGAGGATACAATGAGCGGCGGTTACAACCCACGAGGGCGCGATGAGCGTTCCTCCACAAAATGGATATGCCCCAAATGCAGAATAGTAAATTCCAACCTATTGACATAAAAAGAAGTACTGCAATGCCTCTATATTGAACATGTTAACCCAACTTGTATAATATTTTACTGAGGCTATTGGGTAGTAGTGGTCAGTATTTTGCGGTAATTGACAATTTCTAGAGCTGTAAATTTCAGGAAAGACGTCCCAATTTAAGGGCAACCTCAATAGTCCAGACTGTCACACGGTTATTGGAAATAAGGACTTGTTGCGTTTTTAGGGTTTACAAACTTGTAATTAGTTTAAGCAGGTTGAGCTTGTGAGGGGCCGCGAGTATGCTAGACGAGCCTATTTTTGTGGACTATTCTGATACATTTGGAAAGTGAGGTCGAGTACACAATTGTACAGGACAAATTCTCTGCTTACTTACGTGCCAGGGCCAACTGTGAATTTTAGATTCCGTCTTTAGTCGTTCATGTTTGTCAGCTGGCGGTTGTGGTCCTGCAGGTATTCCACAACTCACAGGGAGTCCATTTTCCAGAACTTCACCTTGGCCTAGCAAGAAAAACGTTTGAGCATATGAATTTAAAATGACAAGGCAGTTTCTTTGCAGATTTCAACACAAAAACGTGCTCGAACAAGGTTTTTCTACGGACAGGTTTTTAAGCCAGCTGGCTGTTCCAAAAGGCTTCCGTTATAATTATCGTAATTATGCTAAAGACAAGGCGAATACGTGTTCCGAAAACGAGATATTTAATTGGTCGCCGGTGAACATCAAATTTTACCTTGTACGGTGATCCAAATGATGGATGTCAGAAAGATACCCACGGCAAGCCACATGTGAAGATGCTGCTTCATATTAAACTTTAAATAGACACGTAGGGACAAAGAGTGCGATCTTGTGCAAGCAGTTTTAACACGCCCTCTTATACAGTAGATTGTTTTATCGATTACGAAATGCACCAATGGGACGAAACAAAACAGTCCATGCGTCTGAGGCCAATAAAGCAAGGTAACCGCCTATTTTTCAGATATGGTCATTGTGAGATTACGTCAATGTGAACCAAAGAATCAATCATTGGTGACATTTCATAATTTTATGCTCGTTGTAAACGCAACCTGAGGCCGGTTCATACCACGAGCTTAGATTTTCAAAATGCACATTCCTGTCTATAGTGACAAAGTCAAATTTCGTCATATCACAGT